CACGGCCGAGGCTGTCGCCCAGAGGGAACGCGGCTGAGGTTGTCGCCCCGCCCTCCGCGTCGTGCCCCAGGGCCTTCCCTCGCGGGCCCCCTCCAGAGGAGCAGGAGGAGGGGGGAGGGAGGAGGAGGGGGGAGGAGGAGGAGGAGGACGAGGAGGCCGAGGAGGAGGAGGAGGAGGGGCTTGCAGTGATATGGCTTAGGAGCGCCCTTGAACCCCGTTAGTGGGCACAGCCTCCTGGAGGCACCACCCTAAGGGTTCAGTGGCCCAATGAGTCTGTATGGCCTGAGGCATTCGGAAACTGATCAGGTCGGTTGAGGGAAGAAGACTGGGCCCCCCAGGCGTGTTGGTACAATTGGGCCCCCAGGTGTTTGGTACAATTGGGCCCCAGGTGTGTTGGTGCAACTGCCCCCCCCCAGCTGTGTTGTACAGCTCGGGCCCCAGCTGGTTTGGTACAACTGGCCCCCAGGTGTTTGGTACAGCTGCCCCCCTCCCCCCAGGTGGTCGGCGCAACTGGCCCCGAGCTGCTTGCTACAACTGGGCCCCCAGGTGGTTTGGTACAACTGGGCTATTTCTCCTCCTCCGCAGTATTGTCCTCCTCCTCCTCCTCCTCCTCCTCCGCATCCTCCTCCTCCTCCTACTCCCCTCCTCCTTGCCCTCGTCCTCCTCCTCCTCCTCCTCCTCCTCCTCCTCCTCCTCCTCCTTCATCCTCATCCTCAGCCCATCCTCTTCCCCTCTCCGTACCCTCCTGCCTCCTCTTCCTCCTCCTCCCCTCCTCCCTCCTCCTCGCTATCCCCCGCCTTCACCCCCCCCCCCCCCCCCCCCCCCCCCCCCCCCCCCGCGGGAGGAGGAGGAGGAGGAGGAGGAGGAGAAGGAGGAAGGAGGAGGAGGGGAGGAGGAGGAGGAGAGGAGGAGGAGGAGGAGGAGGGAGGAGGACGGGGATGAGCATTTGAATTACTGAGCTGCCTGTGGCGGCAGAACAGCTGTCACGAAGCTCCCGTGGACGGCGCGGAACCCGCCCACCATCGCCATCAGCGTGTCCTCCTGGAACCTGGACGCGTCGGTGCAGATGACCAATTTGCCAGAGGCCTGATACGACTCCCTCGATGAAAACCATTACCGCCTCAGAATAGACGTCCACCTCCGATTCAAATCAAAACCTCGAGCCTGGGAGAAAGTGACCGCGTTCCGAACGTGAGCTGCCACGTTGATTGCACCGTCTTGCTGATCATCGGCACCCGCACCCATTGCCAAAATGTCTGCCAGGTGATCGTCGCGTGAACCTTGTGGAACTGTTGAACCTTTTGCGGCCTCGACCGCGTCGGAGCTGAGCGCGCTGGAAACGAAGCGGTCGGACCATATCCCAAGAGACGCAAACACTTGAGAGGCGATCTGCTTCGCCTTAGTGCGATGCTTCACCACCTTGAGCATGAAGTCAACCAGGCTCATCTCGGCGCTGAGCCCGCCCAGGGGCTTCTTGATCATGTCGAACATGAGTTGGGGAACGCTGTCGAATGAGACCATGCAATTATCTACGCAAATGAGGTGCCCGCCCTGCTTCCTGGGCGCCAGTGTGACGTCGCAGCCGACGCGCTCCCCAAGATTGATCTCGATCGCGAACGAGCGGTTGCTGAACGCAATGCCAATGATGCATCTGAGAACGTCCAACGTCGTAGAATGGTACGTTTGGCCTGCTTTATCGGGGTTGCAACCGTGCATCGCCAAGTGCAGCAGCACGCCAGTTGAAGATAAGGTTGTGGCCTGTAAACACCTGTTTGACCACTTCGCAGAACCCTTCGCCGAACGCTTCACCATGAGGTCACTTGTGAGCCCGAGGGCTTTGCTCGTACGCTCTGCTACTTGAAGGACATTTTGAACACCCTGTGACTGTGTAAGCTTCATTGCAGGGGCAATGGCCCATAAGTCGCTGACGTCCCACCAGTGCTGTGCGCCCGTGGAGTACAGCTCGAGGTGCCAAACCTTCACGACGCCCACCTCGCCGCCCGTGGGGATGCGAATGTAGTGCGACTTGGGCTGAAAGGCATTCGAATTGAAAATTATGTTCGTGTCATTGCGACTCCACTGCCATATGCCTTTTATCACCTTGACTTGTTGTTCCATCTCGATCCATGGTGTCATTATTATGGTACCGTTATATGTCAAACGAGCACTGCCCTCAGACTGCTGAAGTCTAAATTCTCCATCTTCGGTGGGGCCCACGCAATATTTCCTCAAGAACTCACGTCCAAGGGGCGCTCGCTCTCCAGTGACGCGGTTGATCAACACTGGCGGGGTTCCTTGGACAACTCGGCCATGAGCAGGCTCGATGCTAATGAAACCAGCGCATTGGGACGTGACGGGCGGCTCGGGGGCGACCTCCGCATCCTCGCCAGCGTCGTCAGGCATGGCCCAACACACACGCAGAGAAAGATATACGGTATCGGAATCCGTGGGCCCAAAATGAACACCACTCCTGGAGCACAATGGCTCCACGATCAAGACCGCCCCCGAAGCCCAGAAAGGGCGGAGGTGCCCGACGGGGGTGAGGAGGAGGAGTAGGTGGATGAGGGGGGGGATGGGGGAGGAGGGGAGGAGGAGGAGGAGGATGGAGGAGGAAGGAGGCAGGAGGAGAAGAGGAGATAGAAAAGAGAAGAGAGGAGGAGGAGGAGAGGAGAGAGGAGGAGGAGGAAGGCGGAGGAGGAGGCGGAAGAGAGGAGGGGAGGAGGAGGAGGAGGAGGAGGAATGAGGAGGAGGAGGAGGAGGAGGATGAGGAGGAAGTTGAGGAGGAAAGGAGAAGGAGGAGGAGGAGGAGGAGGAGGAAGGAGGAAAGGGGCAGGAAAGGAGAAGAGGAGGAGGAGGGAGGGAGATGAGGAGGAGGAGGAGGGGGGGGGGGGAAATGGGGAACAAACTCCCCCCTTGCGCCAGGGTGCCGCCCTGGGCGGCCCCCCACGCCTGGTTGACCCTACCCCCGCGGCCAACACTGCGGGGCGCCATCGCAGCAATGCTAGCCGCGCGGCCGAACGCCTACAAACAACAGGGGGCGTGCTCACCAGTCGGTCGGGGCATTTGGGGGAGCAGAGGAGAAGGAGGAAGAGCAGGAGGAGGGAGGAAGGAGGAGACGGAGGGAGGAGGGGGAGGAGGAGGGAGGAAGGAAGAGAGGAGGAGGGGGGGGCGGAAGGAGGAAGAGAGGAGGAAGGAAGGAAGGAGGCAGGAGGAAGGAGAGGCGAAGGAGGAGAGGAAGAGGTGGAGGAAACAACTCCCCCCTTGCGCCAGGGGGTCGCCCTGGGCGGCCCCCACGCCTGGTTGACCCTACCCCCCGCGGCCAGCACTGCGGGGCGCCGCCGCCGCAATGCTAGCCGCGCGGCCGAAAGCGGGGGTGTGCTCAACCAGTCGGGGCACTGGGGAAGCCGAGGAGGAGGAGGAGGAGGAGGAGCAGGAGCAGGAGCAGGAGGAGGAGGAGGAGGAGGAGGAACATCAGCGGCAGCAGCAGCAGCAGCAGCGGGAGCAATTGCAGGAGGGGAAGCGGGGGGAGTGGAAGGAATGGACGGGCCCCCATGAGTGGGCCGAGTGCATGCGCCCCCTGAGCCTTCAAGGGGCATCCAAGACGGCCCAAGACGGCTCAAGACGGCATTGAGGTTCCCAAGAGGGTCCCAAGAGGGATTCACGAGAGCCCCAAGACGGCCTCCATGTCCCCAGAAGGTCCAAGACGGCTCAGAGGGCCCCAAGGGGCCTCCAAAACGGCCCAAGATATTCACGGACCGATAGCTCCAATATGCCCAAGACGACCCCCGAGCGGCTCAAGGGGCTTTCAAGACGGCCCGAAGGGCCTCGAAGAGGCGCACCCAGCATACATTCACACGCACACGCACATATTCACACGGATCCTCCTCCTCTTCTTACTCTTCATTTTCTTCCTCCTCGTCTTTCTCATCATCATCATCCTCCTCCTCCTCTTTCTCATCTTCCTCATCCGCCTCCTCGTCATCCCCATCGTCCTCCTCCCTGTCTTGATTGCCGTCGTCGTCGGCCTCCTCCTCCTCCTCCTCCTCCTCCTCCTCCTCCTCCCCCTCCTCCTCCACATCCTCCACCACCTCCTCCTCCTCCCCCTCTCCTCCTCCTCCTCCTCCTCCTCCTCCTCCTCCTCCTCCTCCTCCTCCTCCTCATCCTCATCCTCGCTCCTCATCCTCCATCCTCATCCTCATCCTCATCCTCATCGCACCATGCTTCGTCCTCCTCCCTCCTCCTACCGCCTCCTCCTCCTCCCCTCCGCCTCATTCCTCATGCGCTGCGCTCCTGCGGGGGCTGTCTCTTTCCTCCTCCTCCCTCCGCCTCCTCCTCCTGGCCTCCGTCCTCCTCCTCCTCCTCTTCCTCCTCCTCCTCCCCCCCCCCCTCTCCTCCTCCTACTCGTCCTCATATCCATCATCCTCCTCCTCGCCCTCCGCCTCCTATTCCCCCATCCTCCTGATCCTCATCCGTATCATTTTACTCTGCCTTCTCAGCCACGGGTGCCTGCAGCGGCAAGGCGGGCCACTGCTCAGCACATACCCTCCAACAGATAGAGATCCCAACCAATAGCCACGACAGAGAACCATCCCAACTGGAATAGCAGAGAGACCAATCCAACTGACGTAACAGATAACCGTCCCAGCTGTCATACCACAGGCCAGTCCAACTGCAGTAGCCAGCAGAGACCCACACCATTGAAGAGATCACTGACCTATCAAGGAGAACACATCCCATGTCATAGCAGAGAAAGCCGTCATTATATTGCCGCATCGGCCGTCGCCTCTGAACTCCAAGGCGGTCCAAATGATGTGCACATGCATTTAGAATATGTACCACCGCGCGTGTATCAACCGTTCCCAAAGATATGCAAAGTGCATTTAGAATATGTACCACCACCGCACGTGTATCAACCAAATCCCAATGATATGCAACTGCACTTAAAATATGAACGGTCACCTCACGTGTGGTAACCACTAAGGCCTGGCAGCCGTGGGGGTTCAAGGAGCTGCTCCTCCGCTGGGCGCCGCGGTGGCCGAGCCATCGGGCGCCGCGGTGGATGGGCCGCGGGCCTTGAGATCATCGGGCAACGAACATTCGCTCAACGTGGGCGCAAGCTTGCGCTTCTTGCTGGTGGAAGCGGTCGGATCAAATGGAGCACCACTTGCATCAGTGAGGGCGGTGATCCTGTCGTTCGCATCGTCCACCTTCTTCTGCGTGCCGTTCTCGCCCAGGATCGTGCGACTCGCGATCGGCTTTGTATGCTGCGCGAAGAGGTCGCTCAGCTTCTCGTTGAAGTCCCCATCGGCATTCGTGACATAGGCGGCGCGCTCGTCCCAGTTGTTCTCGATCCACGCATCGCCCTTGACGGCCACGATGCCAGATGGAAGGGCGACCTCGGGCGTCCATTTCCTCCTCGTCCCTCCCCTCCTCCTCCTCCTCCTCCTCCTTCTCCTCCCCCCTTCATCCTCCTGTTCCTCCTGCTCTCCCTGCTCCTCCTCCTCCTCCTCCTCCTCCTCCTCATCATCATCATCATCCTCCTCCTCATCTTCCTCCTCCTCCTCCTCCTCCTCCTCCTTCTCCCTCCCTACCTCCCTCCATCACTCCCCCCCTCCCTCCCTCCCCATCCATCCCTCCCCCCTCCATCCCCACCCCCCACTCCTTCGTCCGCAGGCCGCCTCTCCTCCTCAGCTCCTCCCTCCTTCCTCCTCCCCGCCTCCTCCTCATCCTCCTCCTCCTCCTCCTCCCTCCTCCTCCTCCCCTACTCCTCCTCCCCCTCCTCCTCCTCTCCTCCTCCTCCTCCTCCTCCTCCTCCTCCTCCTCCTCCTCCCTCCTCCTCCTCCCCCCCCTACTCCCTCCTCCTCCTCATCCTCGCCTCCTCCCCTTCCTCCTCCTCCTCGTCCTCCTCCATCCTTCTCCTCCTCCATACCGTCACTCCCCAGTCCTCATCGCCTCCTCCGCCTCCTCCCCTCATGTCTCCTACGCATCCATTGCCGTAATCATCCTCGCTCGGCCGCCTCCTCAAATCTCATCAGTTCCTCCTTTCCTCCTTCCTCCCTCCCTCGCTGCCTCCCCCTCCTCCTCCTCCTCCCCCCTGCTCCTCCTCCTCCTCCTCCTCCTCCTCCTCCTCTTCCTCTTCCTCCCCTAGGTCTCGGCTAAGAAGCCAGCCGTTTTGCCGAGCGGAACGTGCTCGACCTTCTTATAGACGCGCTTGTTGCCCTGGCTGACCTCATCCTTGAACCTGTACACGCCGGACGAAGGCCAATCGACCGTAAAGTCCTGGTTGAGCTTCAGAGCTGGCTTGGTCTGGCACTTGTCACGGCGAGCGGTGTTGAACTCCACCAACAACAACCAAAGAACTCCACCCCAAAGAGAGCACCAAAAACAACAAAAATCGAACTCCACCAGCACTTTTTTGTCACGGGTAACGGGCTCCTCGCTCTCGGAAGCGCAGCACATGAAGACCCATATCTGCGCCATGATCTTCGCACCCTTGCCCGATTTCTGTTTGATCCTTGCCCAAATCCGCTGGTTGATAGTCGGCTGCCAAGTTGTGACGACTTCCTGGATAAAGTCGTGGCTCACAAGTGACATCTTCTTGGTTACTGGGAGGACACCATCAAGCTGCGCCGTCGCCTTGTTTGCGAACTGGCCACTCTGAACCGCCAGCATGATAGGAGCTGCCTCATCAGGGTGAGAACGGAAGTGGTCCCTCAAGAACGCCAGCACAGCCAATGGAGACCCAGCTTTCGGCGCCATGGGAGAGACAACCAAGGCAAGCACAGCGCAACACAGGAAGTCTCAGTGATGAGCAACGTGCGCGAGAAGAGCTCAACTGTTGAATCGATATGGCTATTGTTGGAGGAGGAAGGGGCGAGGAGGAGAAGGAACCTGGACGGGCTCTTAGGGACAGACAATGAAGTGTAAGAACCCGCAACCGTACTTCTGGGCACGACGTGGTCGTGTCCTCAGGCCAGGTGTCAAATCCATTGGGCCTCAGTTCTCAGTCCTGGCAAATTTCTTAGGGGCCTGGGCCCCACATTGCCTAGTCGCCCAGGGCCGCTCGCGTACCCCTTGGGGCGCGTCGCGTCTTTTAGCGTGATTTGTTCGGGCCCAAAAAGGCTCCAAGACGGTCCCAGAGGGTCCCATGAGGCTTCCAAGACGGCCCAGGACGGCCTCGAGTCGCCGATCTGTCCAAGATGCTCAAGACGGCCCCAAGTTGGATCAAGAGGTCCCGAAAAGGTGCCCCAATAATACACACACGCGCTCTCTCTCTCTCTCACACACACACCGCTCCTCCTCCTCCTCTTCCTCCTCCTCCTCCTCCTCCTCCGCCTCCGCCTCCTCCTCCTCCTCCTCCTCCTCCTCCTCCTCCCCTCCTCCTCCTCCTCCTCCTCCTCCTCCTCTTCTTCCTCCTTCTCCTCCTCCTCCTCCTCCTCCTCCCTCTTCTCCTCCTCCTCCTCCTCCTCCTCCTCCACCTCCACCTCCTCCACTGGGGCACAACAAAGCACGTGGGCCAGTGAACGGGGCGGAGACACCGCCGTCTGGCAGGCAGGGGCGGGGCCCAACCCCATCGTTTCTTCAATATTGTCCGCCCCCATCCGCCTCCTCCTAATCCTCCTCCTCCCCCTTCTCCTCCTCCTCGTCATCCTCCTCCTTCTCTTCCTCCTCATCCTTACCCCCTCCTCATCCTCACCTTCGTCATCCTCAGTATGGTTCTCCTCATCCGCCTCCTCCTCCTCCTCCTCTTCCTCCTCTCATCCTCCTCCCAAAAAAAAAGCTCCTAGCAAAAAAATCTCCTCCTCCTCCTCATCATCAATCTTCCCTCCTCACTCCTCCTCCTCCTCCTCCTCCTCCTCCTCCTCCTCCCCTCCTCCTCCTCATCCTCCTCCTCCTCCTCCTCCGTCCTCCTCCTCCTCCTCCTCCTCCTCCTTATCCTCCGACATCCTCCTCCATCCTCCTTTTCAGCATCCTCATATCCTCCCCCTTCCTCCTCTTTAATCCTCCTCCTCTTCCTCCTCCATCCTCCTCCTTCTCTCCGCCATCCCCAATCATCCGCCCTCCTAATTCCCCTCTCCTCCCTCCGCTACTCCCTCCCTCCTCCCCTCCCTCCTCCTCCTCATCGTCGTCCCCATCCTCCTCTTCCTCCTCCTTCCTCCTCATCCTCCCGCCTCCTCCTAATCCTCCTGAAGCCCCAGACCTCATCAGTATCACATCCTCGGAGTCATCGTCTCCTTCTCCTCCTCCTCTCCTCCCCCCTTCCTCATCCTCCTCCGCCTCCTCCTCCCCCCCTTCTTATCCCCATCTCTCCTCCTCCTCCTCCTCCTCCTCCTCCTCCTCATCATCATCATTCGCCTCCTCATCCTCCTCCTCCTTCTCCGCGTCCTCCTCCTCATCCTCTCCCTCCTCCCTCTCCTCCTCGTCCGCCCCATCATCATTATCCGCCTCGTCCTTCTCCTCCTCCTCCTCCTCGCCGCCTCCCTCCTCAATCGCCTCTTCTCGTTATCCTTATCCTCCTCTCCTCTTTCCTCCTTCCTCCTCCTCATCCTCCTCCTCCTACTCCTACTCCTCCTTCCTTTCCTTCATCGTCCTCTTCCTGTTCCTCCTCCTCCTCCTCATCCTCCCCTTCCTCCTCGTCATCCTCGTCCTCAATTGATTCCGTTCTGGTCTGGCCCTCCTCTCCTCCTCCTCCTCCTCCTCCTCCCTCCTCCTCCTGCTTCCTGCCCCTCCGCATCCCCTTCCTCTCCTCCTACTCCTCCTCCTCCTTATCTTGCTCATCCCTCCGCATCCTCAGCAAATCCATAGTATCCTCATCCCCTCATCCTCTTGCTAATCCTCATTATTCGCATCATCACATCATCATCATCATCATCATCATCATCATCATGCCTCATCATCATCATCACATCAACATCATCTCATCATCATCATCATCACTCATCACATCATCACCCTCCATTCCCCTATCCCCTTCTCATCCTTCATCATTCCCCTCCTTCCTCGCCTCCCCTCTCCTCCCCCCGCCATCCTCCTCCCCTCCTCCTCCTCCTCCTCCTCTCCTCGTCTCCTCCTCATACTCCTCCTCATACTCCTCCTCATACTCATCGCCATCCTCCTCCTCTTCCTTCTCCTCCCCCCCCCTCCTCTTATTCCTCATCCTCCTCCTCATCCTCCTCCTTCCCCTCCTCGTCCTCATCCTCCTAATCATCCTCCTCGTCCTCCTCCTTCTCCTCCTCCCCTTGATGTTCCTCCCCCACCTTCCTCATCTTCCTCCTTCTCTTCCTCCTCCTCCTCATCCTCATCCTCATCCTCATCCTCCTCCTTCTTCTCGTCCTCCTCCTCCTCCTCCTCCTCCTCCTCCGCATCATCCTCATCATCATCCTCCTCCTCGTCCTCATCCTCATCATCCTTCTCCCCCCCTTTTCCTCCTGCTCCTCCTGCTCCTCCTGATCCTCCTGCTCCTGCTCCTCCTCCACCTCCTCCTCTTCCTCCTCCTCATCCGCCTCCTCATCATCATAATCCTTCCTCTCGTCCTCGTCCTCCTCCTGCTCGTCCTTCTCCTCCTCATGTTCCTCCTCCTCCTCCTCCACCTCCTCCCCCTCCTCCTCCTACTCCAGCTTCTCCTTCATCATTCCCCTTATGCTCCCCCTTCTTCTCCTCCTATCTTTTTTGTGTTAGAGTATGACGGTGCGTACAAAAGTACATCCATGATTCACCAAATCAGCGAACGAAGAGCAGGATCGGCGGCAGCCGCGGGCGCGAGGCAGCGTTGTGCATCGTGCCCGCGGCCGCAGACAGGAAATAGAAAGTTGCGACCTCCTCCTCCCCCTCTTTCTCCTCCTCCTCCTTCTCCTCCTTCCCCCTCCTCCTCCTCCTCTCTTCCTCCTCCTCCTCCTCCTCTTTCTCCTCCCTCCTGTTCTTCGTCTCACAAAAAAACGACATGACGTTGTCTATGCCCGCTAGGTTATCCGAAAATCCGAATCCTCCAATTGAGCCTCTTCCATAACCCCTAAAACCGGTGTTACTATAACTCGCCCTTCTCTGAGATATATATATATTATATATATATATATATATAATATATAATAGTATATATGCATACAATATATATATGCCAAGGACGGTGCTGAGCTCAACCTCCCAGGAGCTGCAACCGATAAGGGTGTGCGAAAGCGTGGCACGAACGCACCTCCCTCGCAGGGGCAACAGGCGCCACCACGAAACCAGGACCTTCCCGATGTGGTGGACACAGCGCCTCTCGCTGCTTCTGCCGTGGGGGGCAGGGGCCAGGCCCCAATCTCTCCGCTCGCCCGCCCGCGGCATGCTCGTGTCGTGACGCCGTCGGCGCTGGCTTGTGACTCCGCGGGGATCGTGCAACCTCGAGAGATCCTTCGGGGGCGCGCGCGCTGTCTTTCTGGGGCGCGCAAGCATGGATGAGCGATCCCTGGACTTGGCGCGCGGTCGCCAAACCCATGGAGCGGGGGAGGTGCCCTCCTCAAAATGCGGCCGGTGCCACCTCGCTCGGCGGCGGAAATCTGCGATTTCCCATGGAAACGGGACCCGTCGCTAATCCACGCCCCCCTGATCCATGTTTTCGATCGCCTGAATCCTGGACGTCGGCCGATTCTGTGCCACTGGCGGCGTTCAATCTTGCACGTCCGCGCTGGCGCCGCCGCTGGGCCAGCACGACACGAACCTTCTGTACGTCCTCACCGCCGAAGTCCCCCACACCTCCCCATCGGAGGCTCGGAACAGGGCGAATTGGAACGACGCAGCTCAACATCGATCCCTCGACCATTCCCAGGGTCCAGACGCACCAATTTCCCTGGCTGCGCCCAGCCGTGGCGACGAGGGGCCCCCCGAAGTCCAACTACAAGTGGTTCCTCCTCCTCCTCCTCCTCCTCCTCCTCCTCCTCCTCCGCCTCCTCCTCCTCCTCCTCCTCCTCCTCCTCATCCTCCCCCTCCTCCTACCCCACCCCCTCTCCTCCTCCTCCTCCTCCACCTCCTGGGCCTCCTCCGCCTTCTCCTGCTCCTCCTCCTCCTCCTGCTCCTCCTGCTGCTGCTCTTCCTCCTCCTCCTCCTGCTCCTTCTCCTCCTCCTGCGTTGCGATCGCGGCCGCTGCTTCTGCTCGACCCCCTCCCCAGCTCGCTGCCTGGAACTGCGCGCAGAGGGAGTAAGGACCCAGGATACGATATGATCCGGACGCCCGAAATGATTACGCAGAGCATGGGTACGATGCCCAGCAACAGGTGTTGTCCAAGACCGACAGCGGCCGCTGTTGGGCAGGCGGCCGCGTGTCTCAAATCGACAACGTCCACGGCGACGCCGACAGCGAGCCGTGCTCAAAATGATCAGGACATGTTGTCGGCCGTCGTACCCATTCCGATCGTACCCATGTCAATCGTACTGATACTGTACGGCCAGAAGCCTAAAGCTTGCACACCCCGCCGCCAGCACACGCAGCGTCAGGGGTGCACTGAGCGTCTCGCGTGATCCCCTCCCCCCAGCGCGGGTGGTTCGGAGTCTCGACCCTCTCCAAGCACCGTTCTCCTTTCCCTTCCCAAGACATATGTTTCGTGGCAGCGCGGCCAAATGGGGATCTGCACGCGCGCTCGATTTGGCCAGAAGCGGGGGAATGAATTGTCCGGCGGCAAGAGACTAGGAGGGGGCGGAGGACGGCCGCA